TCACCGTGTTTAATTTATTGTTATATATGCCGATATTAATTTAGGCGGCGAGCCTAGCAATTTTTAGATCTATAAGCCTTAATGAAACCCGCAAAATAATAAAGTCATATATAATGATATTACAAATGTGCCAATTTTTATAATACGTCAAGGCTATTATATTACCGCAGTAAGCATCCAGTTGGCACATAACACGCAAGCTTTCACAATCAATGTTTTACCATTCATTAGCGACAAGGGCCCTAATATAGTTACTGATTTATGCCTCAGCTATAACTTAACGAACACAATAATACGAAGCCGCCATTCCGTCTTATAACGCGACACATTGAACGGAGACACGTAGCTTTAGTATTGTACGTAACCCGGTTAGGTAATTTCGCTATATGCCAGTAATCCAATTAGCTATTAAGATTCGTGGGTCGCATATTAATTCGCTCCTGATTCGGCCGCTTTGTAAGGAAACTGGGAACTGTGACCTTATGTACGAACCTTCAATACCTTCGGTGCCTTCATGGTACGTGGTCACGTACCAATACGATTGTGTTTACAAAGATTGTTCTGTATTTTCTGACCTACGGAAAATACGACCGGATTTTTTGGGTGTAAGAATATATATAAAAACTGTGAAATCTGTTACGTCTTATGTAATATTAGATCGAATAACACTCTTAGAACACAATCTCACAACAGAGCTACTTATTTTGTATTTCTTTAGTTAATTTTTTTCTCGAATATTTAAAACAATTTCTATACTTGAAAAAAGATAGTCGATTTTAAATCAATATGATACGTCCGTGTCGTGACGGATTAAGAATACGGAATGTCACCACCCCTATTCATCCCGTGGGTGTCGTAAGAGCCGACTAAGGGAGCAAACTACGCAGGACGACAGCACTGCTAAGAGAAGGAAAACTTGAAACAAACCCTATACCAACCCGTTTGGCCAGCGTGGTATAGTAGGCCAAAACCTCCTTTCTAAGGAGAGGCCTATGTCCAGCAGTGGACTGTTATAGGCTGTTGGTGGTGGTGGTGGTACTTACTACTAGTACTTACTAGTACTTACTTTGAAATTTTAGCATACTTTTTTTGAATAGAAAAAAGAAGATAATCTTTAATAAACACTGTAATAGAGTTTTCATTAGTGCTATAATTCTACGAACAACCAAATTTGATAAACATATAATACCAAGTTTCGTTTTGTATATTGTAGGAAATTGTAGGGAAGTAAATTAATTGGCGCCATCACTTTGACTTGTCCCCACCATTTATCAATTTAAACAAGCTGTTAGAAATGTTTACTGTTCGAGTGACATTTGGAGCTTCACGCGTTTGAAGAAAATAGGAATGCACTGATATTGAGCAAAGTTAATAGCGTTGCATCGGCTCGTGGTATAATTTATCATCATCATCATCAACAGCCTTTAGTAGTCCACTGCTGGACAAAAGCCTCCCTTTAGAATAGAGGTATTGGCTTACTAAACCACGCTAGCAGTGCGGTGCAGTGCTGTTGTTTTGTAAAGTTTGCTTCCTTAGTGGTATAACTGTTATTAATAAATTCCAATCAGCAAATGTACCTTTTTTTTATATCACACTAATGACTCGCTAGTAGAATAAAATCGCACTGGAAATGATTTGTGGGATGAGGATTTATTATTTTTCCGAGTTTGTGTATGAAGTGTCTCGGAGAGTTGCGTATGGAGTGTCGAATGATTGATTATGAAATGCAATAGTCTTTTTTATGATATTTGAAACGAATATGAAATACTAAATCTGTTTTTTAAAGACTACCTTTTACTTTGAATATTAAACGGGTCCCGGGGCGGTGTTTTTGGCTTTAAGCCGTAACACCGCCACCCTTAGTTCCACCCCAGTGACCTCAGGCACGTCGTCGTCATCCACGTTAGGCGCCTCAAGCGCCGGAGGCGGAGCCATCTGTGGCGGAGTATGCTCCACCACTCGCGCTGGGAACAGGGAGCCAACGACCCTCTCAAGCAGCTCTGGCTGAAGACACCGTGTGAGCGGCGGGGCCCATGGGCGCATCTTGCCCCTAACCATACGGTAGGGGCGTCCCCACGGATCCCGCTCCAGTGTCTCCAGCATCTCGCGGCGGGCCTCGCTCTTGGCCCGCTTTATCGCTGCCTGAAGGGTCCTCTTGGCAACCCTGTAACCCGCTAACAGCTCCGCCTCTCTCGCTGCCGCATCTTCGGGGCGGCGACGCCTCCTGCGGAACCTGGACCACCGGCGGCGCGCGGTCACGCAGGCTTGACGCAGCCGTGCGATCTCCGGCGACCACCAGTAGACCTGGCGCCTTGCAGTATTGGGCTGAGCCCTAGGCATCGCCGCATCGCAGACGCGGGTCATGGCCTCCCGGAACCACTGTGCTTCAGCATCGACGTCGACGGTGAGGTGGGGCCGCCTTCCCCCTCCCTTTGCCCTTTCCGGCCTTCTGGGGCGGGAGGGCCGATAACGGCCCAGCCACCCTAGCTGCTGGCTGGGCTGTTAGGCCCGCACCGGCAGCGGCCGCATAGGTTGCCCTTGGCGGAGCCAGAGGTGGGCGACAACGGGCGCTCTCTACAGCGGAGATGCGCCTCATTATCCGCTCCTCCATCTCCGCCATGAGTCGGACTAAGCTCGGCTCCGGCTCCGGGGCGGACAGCGCCAACGGTGCCGAAGGCGCTGGTGTGGCACTAGCGTGGGCACGAGCCTGTGCGAGATCCGCCTCGAGGCGGGCTCTCTCCCTAGCGTGGGCCTTGCTCTCGGCCACGAGGAGTCTGCCCGCCTCAATTATGGAGCGCACTACCGCTACCAGGGCCTCCTGTTGGGGGCCCCCGGCCAACCCGGACGTCCGAAGCAAGCAATCGGCCTGGCCGATTGCCTCCTCAATCCGGTCGACGGGGTTGCCGGTTTTGCCACCCTCCTTCTCGCTCCTCACCTCGGTCACGTCTATCGACCTCTCGGACGCGACCCTCTTCACGGGAGCGTAGGAGCGTAGGGGCTCCTTCTTCTGCTCCTGGGCAACCCTAGGGAGTCGGCCTCCGCCGCGAGCGCCTCTGCGGCTTGTGCCGACTTTTGGAGCCGTGGCGTCATCGCTCGAGGCCGACTCCAATTGCCTCTTCAGGCCAAGGCGAAGCGAGCGCCTTTTGCGCTTTGGAGTACCCTTCTGGTGCTGCTCCGCAGCTGAGACCATCGGGGTACTCGCTTCGCTCATCTCTGAGGCAGTGTCGGTGTTCGACACTACCTCCTGGTTTTTTGCGTCCTCCGCGTTATTTTGGGTGCCGGATTTACTGCTCGGCGACGGGCAGGTTAGACAGAGGTTGCTCCCCCCAGAGTACGTTTGGGAGCTGCCGGAGCCGTCTGGCTCCGGGAGGGATTCTCCAGACGCAGTGCGTCTGGTACCCTCCTGGGTAGATTTAAAAATCTTTGGGCCCATGTCATAAAGTTAGTTTAACGTCCTTCGACGGGGACGCCTTCGGCACTGGACTCCCTCCAGCGACTCAGCCCCTTGCCAGGCGTCAGAACGTGGGCTTAGAGCATTTTTTATAGAGGTTTACGTCCTCGCGGATCCGAAGATCCACCGGTCCTGTCCATTCAGGATTACGGCTGGGCCGGACGGGGTCTGCACCAGACCGGGTCCGTCCGCCCCAAGGTTTTTTTTATAGAGGTTGCCTTCCTCGTAGCCCTCGAAGAGCCGTCATTCCTGACCGTTGCCAGTCAGGGTTACGACATGGCCGGACGGTGGTCTGCGTCAGACCAGTGTCCCCCACCTCTGGACAGAGCCAGCTGCAGTGGACCCGTCCGCCCCCAGCCCAGATGACGTACCCCTGTTCCTAATCATTCAAAATAAGTTACTAAAAAAATTGTAAGAGTGATATTTAAATTTAAGTAAGTATATACAATTTAAACTTACTTTTTACACAATTGAAAGTTTATATCTGAAGAAGTTCAAATTCACTTTGAAAAAATTTAATTATTAAACAGTTTCTCAAATTACATAACGAATCTTCAATCCAAAAAAACTTGCAGTACACTTGTGCTTATATTATGAAGCTTATAAATAACTCAAATAATACTTAATGTATCTCTATCAAGTACTTACGTATATACATTAAATAATTAGCACTCAATTATAATATTAAGAGTGATTAATACAACTCTAAGATGTTTGGTATGTGAAGTGAAACTCAATGAACCGCTGGCATTCCTGGTTATTATCTTATGTTTCGCAAATGATGTTTAGCGGAGATTCTTGGTTGATAATTTGATAGATATGTACATTATTAATGAACTTGAATACCATGTTTGTAATATGTTTCTGTTCAGGTTTAGCTTTACGGTATAATTTAATTATTAATAAATATGACTAAAAACATGAAATCCGACTTAAATAGATTTAAGTTATTGTTAATTCAAATAATTAGTGCTAAACATTTTTTAATTAATATGTTATGTTCCCTTCAGTATGGGCAATTTACTTAATGTATCTCTATCAAGTACTTACGTATACACATTAAATAATTGTGTAATTACTAATTAAAATCGGTTTACAATTGATAAAGATAGTATACACACTATTTTTTGAAGTCGGTTAATGTTCTACCTCCATATTATTAGGAACAACATTACTTATTCAATGATTAGGATTAACATATGTTTAACGTGTGGTGAAGATTAAGAATACGGGACACCAACCCGCGGCTGTTGTTAGAGCCGACTAAGGGAAGATACTACGCAGGACAGTAACACTGCAGAGAGAAGGAAAACTTGACACAAGCCTTATACATTTATATTCTTTTTTATCAGCCTCACTTCATAAACTGTATTTTAGTGCAAATGCACTAGTAGCAGTAGTGGTAGTAAAGATACCCAAATCGCTTTAGGTGTATCTATAATATTTGAAGAGTTTCCAGGACTTTTTCTTTGTTATTTATCGATTTTTCATTCAGAGTAACATGTGAATTTTTTACTTAATTACTTAAATTACTTTTGTTTTATTGCAGATGAGGGCAAAATCCATAAGATTGTACAATGGACACGTAATGGGGACAGCCAGTCCGCACTACTTGATATCTTTGATGTCACTCCTGGTGAACCCATTCAGGTAGGATAATATTTTTTTAACTTTGAATAATTCTACCACCGATACAAAGAATAGATTAAAGACCCTTACCTATTCTCCAGGCTATGGCAATATCACGACTCCATGGCTCCCTCTTTGCGGCTTCAGACCAACGTGTGCTACAGTTACGCCTTGCGTTGTGCGCACGAAGATATGATGCCTGTGTGAGATGCGCACGCGACCCTTACTGCGGGTGGGACAGGGATGCTGGCGTATGCAGGGAATACAAATCTGGGTAAATATCATTGATTGTTTAAAGCAATATGTGTAAATTCCGTTTGACGCAAAGGAATTACCACGATCATGCAGTCGAAGACGGGAAATCGTTTATTTTTCTACATAAGATACACTGATGTATATTGACATCCAAAACCTAGCCAAAAATCCACTATTTATTATTGTCATGACCATTTCGGCCAACAACCGCTGTAAAAATAGGAAACTGTATTTTTTGCTGTTTACAAATTCTATAATTGCATTCTTAATTGACAGTATCAATCATATTTTCATAATGTTATACCTCATCATGAAGATACTTTGACTACTTCATTTACATTAATCGGCGAATAACTTTCATTGCGCTAGATGGTGCTGGAATAGTATATGCTGTTTATAGATGTCACTACAGTAGGTCATTTAATATCTTAAATGACAATTACAAACATAATAAAAAACAACAACAAAGCAGTGTGAAGTTTCGCGCGCAAACGAACACAATAACGTTCTCGTTTATTAGCACGCGATCTCGCGGATCGCGTTCATTATACTAAAACACGTAAAACTTGAACTTAGTTATACACTACAAGCAAAATAATGACAAATTGAATGTTGTTTTATATAAATAAAGGTTAAATGAACGCAAATTTGCAATCAATCATTCATTACAAGTTACAACTCATTAGTTTTTTTTATTATTTCAATATGTGACACACGCAATATATATTTTTTATGATTTATTTTATATTTATTTTGTCTTTTAAAGTAATTAGTAAGTTTTAACAAAAAAGACTACTTTTAGATAAGTAATTAATAATTCAAAAAAGTGTGATCAATCAATTGTGTAATTATGAAATTGTACGTACTTTGAATAAAAAACGGTCTGATATGTGTAATTATTTCCTTAAATTCTGGTGGACTTTTCTGAAGTCTGCCGCTGGAGATGATTCGTGAATTTAACTGAAAATTAGATGCAATATTTTATAACCACGTACAATTTAATCATATAAGAATGTACTTTGCCTTTGCTTAAAACCGAATGCTGTCAATACAAAAAAAAAGTGTTTTTAAAGTTTCCCTAGACTCTGGATTTCATGGATATCCAAAGTTTTCTCATGAAGATTACAGCTGCCCTATAAATAATTTGTATCTACTCTTAATTATTAATAATGTGTCTTCAATCGCAGCCTAATACAAGACGTAGCTAACGAAACAGCAGATATCTGCGACTCATCCATATCTCGTAAAAGTGTCTCCGCGACATGGGGCCAAAGCTTGCATCTCGGCAGCTTCGTGAAAATGCCTGAAGTCCTACAGCCTAGGGCTGTGACGTGGTATCATTATTCCAGGGAGAAAGGTCGACATCCTATAACCTTCAAGTAAGTTTACTATGAGTTTACTTTTTTTGTTGCATAATAATATCTTAACATTTAGGTAACCATAAAGCGGACAAACTAAACAAAATTAATTTAGATTATAATTTTTATATTTTTAAAATACAATTAGCTACCAATTTAATAGTTTCTTGCTCTCTCTTTAAGTCTCTTCATTCTACGTGACATTTTTCCGAATGTAAAAGTGCTTGATATTTTACTATTATTATAATGTCAATAAGACTATGTCGCGATTATTATTATGGTATTTCATAACCGCCTTCATACTTTACGTGAATCGAAATAGTAAAAACTCGACATCGGTGCGGGACTCTAAAACTAGGGTAATCGCATCTACGTGTCTTTACTCTAATCTACAAAAAATAGGTATGGCCAGAGAGATTTAGATATTTTTTACCATAACGAGCTTGCAGAAATACATGAACATATGAAAAATTCAAAACATTCAACCTGTTTCACCTCCTCCGCAATTAATATTTCTCTTAAACTCCGAACCAATTCTAAACCTCTAAATTACCCTAACAACTTCATACCTTACCTTCAGTATTCAATTCGAAGATAAATACTATTTAAAATACGTAAAATAGTGTTTCCGAACACGCATACAACAACATTAATTATAGGGCTCCCAAATCTTCGGCTATCGCGCTTCCGCTGTACAATTAAAATGCAAGGGGAACTTCTAACATTCTATTCGCCATGTTTTATTCACCCACTAACTTGTTTAGCCCCAAGTTAGAATGAATAGTCGGAAATGGAATAAAATTTGGAAACGTCCTTTGGTTATCCATTTTTAATTATTTTTGTTACATTGCAAAAGAACTTATACATAACTAATACCAGACCAAATAGGAACTTATTTTTAAAGTCAATCTTAATCTCTGCTTTTTTTTCAAACTTTACTCAAAATGTCAAATATAGAACAATGAGTACACAAATGTATGCCGTACGTAGTAAATAGTATATGAAGCAGCCAAGGTGCCGGACCTGAAACACGTCTTAGTCGATTCGATTCCGACATACCATTTCTCCGTGAGCTCGGCGAATTAGACTCGTGAGAGTTTCAGAGTTTCCACCAATACACGTACCCCCGTCGTACTAAGACATAATGTGCTAAATTTCGTTCCAGTTTCAGTTATAAAAAAATTAGTTTTGTTAATCAAAAGATTTCATAAAATAAATAGCAGTTTACTAGGCGACAGTTTATTACCAAGGGAAGGCGGTTTAATAAAAACAAAGTTATAATGAACAGACTCATTTGGAATATAGATTAAACAGAGGATCCTTCCTATCCTTCATTAATATTGGAAAAACTCGTCAACTGTCGAACTTCTCATTAAAATGTTAAAACAATACAAAATATGAAATTATAAACCGAAATATTTAATCCCTTGTAGTGGGAAACAAAACCAACTTGATCTTGGCTGCCTATTAAATAATATTAATATTTTCTTGTTTCGCAGTAAACCGGAAAAGTATATTGAAACATCGGAGCACGGTTTGCTGATTATCTCGGTAAATGAAGCTGATGCAGGAAGATATGACTGCTGGTTAGGAGGGTCTCTCTTATGTTCTTACAACATCACAGTAGACACTCACAGGTATATAATTACTTTTAAGCAGTTTATGCTGTCAATTGATAAAATAAAGAGTGATAAATTAACAAATTTTCTTTCAGATGCTCTCCTCCTGAGAAGAGTAATGAGTACCAGAAAATATATTCAAATTGGTGTCATGAATTTGAAAAATATAAAAGCGCTATGAAAACTTGGGAACGAAAACAAGAAGTAAGTATCTCGTTTGTGTTTTTATACTGTTTTTGTCGTTTTAAACCCTTGATTAAGAATCATGCTAGTATCCACTTACCATAGAATTGAAAATAATATATTTAATTATTTATATTTGATAGGGTACGAAAGTAATTATTTTTAGCCTTATCCCATCCCCATCTCTTCAATGTATTTCTTGCCAAGTCTTAGTATTTTTTTTAAACTGGACTCATTGATGCCTCTTACTCACCGGGTATTGTTACTGTACCTAAGAAAGTACTTCAAATAGTTATTTATTACTTCGGCTATACCCGAGAATCATGAAAAGATAAATAAATAAATCAGGACAATGTGCCTATGACTAACACATTTTTCTTCTTTTTCAGCAATGCGCAAGACATAATGATTCGAATCAGAACACACATCCAAACGAAATAGTGTGATAGCTTCTGAACATCGCCTATCTCATGTTTCAGTCTGTTAATTATTATGCAGGAGCTATACCGATACCTTACGTCTCGGCCGGCTTAAAGTACTTCAATATATTCTCGTGAGGAAATCCGTCAATATCATCCGCTCCATTACAGATCTCATAGCGACTCCATAGTTATGTACGTGGAGCTCAAGACTAGTGTACTAAATTGAATGTGACTCCCTATAGCTTTTGTAAAGTGACAGTGTAGTGACCACTAACTTAGTCGTGTTGCAACAGTGCATCGTTCCAAACATTCGGCGGGAACATGAGTAGGTGATTATTGGACACTCGAAATTTTTACGAACACTTTTAGTATTGAAATTTTAAATGGAACGATATAAAGAGCGTTGTGAGTTGCTTTGTTGGTAAAATGAATGTAAGATGTTTAATATCGACATCATAAGTACGCTTTGTTCGTTGGATAAGTGATAGAACAATTGTTAGATATTATGGGATGGTATTACTTTTATGTAACTAGAAATTTCTGTTCATTAAATTATTATTTTTATTTGTATTTCGCATTTCTATTTGTAAGCGTTTGTGATAGGTTTTAGTGTGCGAGTGAAGAGTATTGATCTGTGCGAATATTAAATTAGATTCAGATCAAGATTCATTAGTCGTAGTAAACTAACAATTCGAATATAAAGATACGTATTGCCGTGTGTTGGTACACCGCGGTCGTAATTTGAAATCTCCGAGGGTTGTGGGAGGGTTCGCCTCATTATTTTTCCCCTATTTGTGTAAATAGTTACCTAGTTTTGTTCGACTGTATCTATTAAGTGTACCTATAGTATGCACGTCCCTATTGGTAATGAGTATAATTTAAGCCTGTGATATATAAGTACTCGTTTAGAAAGTAAATTTTAAGTCTTGATCGTGAACTTACTAAAACTAAATCATCACTCACTAGATACAGCCAACAGTACTTCTTATTTCAATCAGAAATATTAAAAGGTAATGTTAGCTATATTTTTTTCATAAACAAGAAATTGTGATAGATCACTTTTTATAATGTTATAAATATCAAGGAGTACATGAAGACATTTAAGTGCATATAATGAATCGCCCGAAAATGATGATTTATATAGAGTATTAAAAGTCATTAACTGAAGTTAACTAGGCCAATTGGCCTACTTCTGTTTTATTATTTTTTACTTGTAACATTATTGATAATAGTATATACCAGGCTAACTTATTACTGCACAAGCTAATAATTCATTTACAGCAAATTTAATAGTAATGTATAGACAAGAGATATCTTATAAACCGAATGATTCAGACATACTGAGGTCTTGTTTTTATAATAAATAAATAATAATTGCACTTTTAAACATCCAAATAAGCAATAAGGTATATGAGTTTATTTCAAGTAATCTATATTATATATAGCTTGTACACGAAGTAGTAATACATTCATAGAAAAATTTCACCGAATATTTTTGTACAAATGTCTCGTAATCATTTTAACTTAGGTAAATATCATCATCTAGTACCTATTCAAGTTATTCGATTCCATATCATAACATTGTACCTAAGAGCTTGTACATATTGTATTCATTGTCACACCAATATACATCTTATTTACATATTTCAGCTGTCAAATATAAATTTTAACTAAATTATATGAATATTTTATATACTCATATTTTTTCGAAACGTTTTTCGAATGATTCCTTTAAATATTACGCTGCCTATTACTTACTATTCATTTTTAAAGTAATTCAGAACGATTTTCAAACCGTGAACCAGAAAAGTAGGTTTTTATTCTACATTCAATAGGACTTTAAGTGTAGTTGATATTTCAATTGATTTTTTTAAATTAGTTTAATCCTTTCAAAAGAAATTTAATCACTAATTGCCTATAGAATAGGTAATAATTCCATTAATTTAACAACTTAAGTAGGTGTACGTAGAGCATATACAAAAGTTTCTTTATATAAAAAATATATGGTTTGAGCAACTAGTTTTAAAAGAGGAACACACGATATTTACTCACAGTGGTAACATTTTTAATAGCATTCAGTTTGAAGTATTTGGGGGACGCTTTCATTTTATATTTTAATATTGTATTTTATAAGGATAAATCTGTCCGCTAAACATTCGCTGTTAACATTTGCTAATATAACACTGAACTACAATGGTATTATAGCATATAGAAACATCATTGTGTTTTTTTTAACCCGAGTATATGTTTATTTTGTTGTTTATGAATAGAAAGTGATAGAAATATATCATAAACCGTTATGGAACCCATATCTATTACGGTCAAGTACAGCATATGTCATACCGGTCAAGTACAGCATACCTTTATTCGAATCAGCTTAATTTGCACCTTTGTTACATATTTTTAAGCTTCAAAGTCCAACCATTCTATAAATGTATCCTTAAAATAGTTCAATTTGTAACAAGTGTCTAGTTTCACCAAAACACTCATTTGTACAAAAGAATATTACATTTATTCAATTGCTCATTATAGTATTTACTTAGTTATAAATGCTACATTGCATTTGTTGTAAGTACTGTAGACGAAGTGATAAAAATATAATGTAACAGATATTTAAAATGAGCCCTTCGCTATATCTGCTATAGTAGTAATAAATATAGTCTATTAGGTGCTTAAATAAGCTTTTTCATTTTGCAAAAGTTAAATATTTTTCAGACTTCTCTCATATCATTATGTAAATACAAAAATCGAAATAGTTTATAAATTCGTAAGAAATATCTGAGCTTTGTCGTTTACTATGTATTAGTTAAGTCTCAGTACTTAAGTATCTTAGTGAGTAAGATATGGATTTCCCTCAACTTGGGAAGATCTTGCGCAATAATTATAAACTAATTACTATTATCTATACTTATGTAATAGCTCTGTATATTTCACATGTTATTATACTAAGTTGAAAATTCAAAATGTAGCGTTAAGATTTTATATAATAAATCTATAAAATGTATCTTTCATTTTCTTAGTGTTTCATTTTAAACGACCCCGTCAGCTAGTGTTTGTTTGTTGTACAGAGCAACGGCGAAGAGAAAATGCTTAAAATAGTGTCGATTCATCAAGTCGCATACCGGGTTGACATTTTCGTCATAACAGGCCGGGGGCCGACTCGCCCCTCGGCTGTGGAGGGGCCATAAAAAGGGCGCGTAATTATATAGTGCCACTAAACTAATTTCACGATACATTGCCGACGAAATCTGTGCTTGGCACCGCCTGGCCTCATGACGAAATCTGATTTTTCTTTCATAACCAAACGCTTGATTACTATTGTTATGTGTTATTTGGTATGAATTGCTAATGTCGGTAGTGTTGATGCTAGTTTACGGCCCCATTATTAACGAAATCTGATGAAGCCGTTGATTGCTATGACCTTCACTATTCCAAAGTTTTTTTTCGAGTCGGGAATAATTTTGCCAATTTTTACTTAACAAGATTTTAACTTCATGCGGAATTACTTTAACTTATTTGTTGTTTAAATTTGGAAGTCCTTGTTGCGAGGCCTCTTAATGAAATGGAGATCCCAAATTATTTCCCATTGGGAAGATTTCCAAGATTGCTATTTAGATAAAAAGTTTAGTGGCCTAATCTTGATACATATAACTACAAATATATAAACGGTAGGCATGACAGCAACTGTGGACATTTTATTAGTGAATCAGGCGATACGGGATCTATAAACAAAACAAAAAAGAAAAAAACGGCTACTCGTACAATACATCTAGACCCGAGTAAGCATTGAATTTTGCGAAACTACAATAGTCTTTAACGTTCGTAAGACAAATCAAAATCTTTCTAGTTTTAAATAATGACTTTGATATTTTAATAAAAAATATTTAAGACGTCGTAAGTCGTGGTATTGTTGCAGATAAACTTAAGTGAGTTATAACCACCCGAGTTACATGAATCATTCTAAAGAAATAAATAAGAAAACATGTCAAAAGGGAACTATAATTTATTAAATTTCTCTGCAGTTACAATCAACCATAAAACTTATGTAGTAGTTCTTTGAGAAGACTAACTATATAAGATACTTATAAAACCAAAATAAAACGTTCAGAACAAGTCTGAGAATATACTAACCACCCTACTAATTAATATACTTGTGTATTTTTAAATACATGCATATTTTAGATAAACTACACACAGATACAGAACAAATAATGACAATAACTGCAAATATCTCACACACGACCGTAACCGATGATGCACGCTCATTAGTGCATCATCAGTTACGGTCGTGTCCACAATATTTGTCTCGATTGAGAATCGACCCATGACCTTTGGTTTAGCAGCCAGTGGCTGGCCACTAGATCAACAAGCCCGTTAGTACTAATATTATTGAATTCTAATAAATATCACGTCCGTGAAAATATATCATAGTAATAGTGCGATTATGAAATTACCGAAAATACTTATACCTATATTATATTTGTAAAATCTTGCTAATAATTACGGTTATTCATAATTACCTATGAAGATGTTTTGGTAGCTGACGAATATAGCAAATTTAGTACATAAAAGGAATATAACAGAGGATTTATCTGGGATACCCGAAATTAGGTTTAATTGCTCACTATACAAATAAACAAAACGCCAAATTCAAGCAACACCCTCAATTAAAACATCCGAAACAGCTTTCAAAAATTAATCATAGTCAAAAACAAAAAAGGAATTAGCCCCAAAATTGTGTAAAAATAAACTTTTAAATGGAGGGTGGGCAGAAAATATTGCCGCATAAAAAACCCTGTGTTCAATACCTTCATTGATGCATTCAACGTTTCATTTCACGGTGCGGCCGGCGCGTGCGTTGCGGAATTCGTCTCCATTAAATAATTACGCATAGCGTAAAACTGAAAGCAATTATTAATAGAGGGATGTTTAAGATGGATGGCTTCATGCCCTAATGCTAAGCCGGTTTACGATTCGCTTGTGATTGAGCAGAGCTGGAAAACCAATTGTATTTCTCTTATCGT